TTTATTGGCTAATAGTAAAATGCCATGAGAAAAAATGACTTAAGGGAAGAATTGTTAAACAAAAAGAAAGCAGAACTTAAGGAAATGGAAATTCACAGCCTCTCCACAAGGTGGAAAATGAAACCTTAAGGGTGTGGCCAAGTGACCATTTGATAGGGACCTTGATGTGAATCACAGATGTACTCAGTTATCCTAGGTGGGGAACTGCTGCTTGAACTGAAGGGGAAAGAGAGGGGAAGAAATGAAGGCAGTCAGTGGTCAGCTTTGGATTTTACAGGAATGAACCATAGAGCTATTTGATGAAGAATGTACACTGTTATTCAGGACAAAGGAAAAACAATCTTCAAGACAATTCAGAGACCCTCAGGGCTGCATCCACAGTCTCAAATAGAGGGATCACTGCCTTGCTTTCAACAGGCAATTTGAATTCTGTCCAAAGCTGTGGGCTACTATTCTGAGCTTAAGAGGCAAAACCTCATACACAGGTCATTTTTACCATTTTTCCCCCTTTGGTAAAATCAGTCTCTTAAGGCAGGATGGTTGCCACTGGGGCTGCAGAGGGAGGTGGAGACAGGGTGGGCCACCTCAAGGGAAGGCAGGGACATGGAGGAGGATGCAGGAGCCAATGAGCGGCCACCACTAGGGTGTGTAGCCCTCAACACTGGACTTTCACCCTTTCCTATTGCTGATGAGTCCTAGAAGTAGAAAAACAAATAGTGAAGCTCTGAGTTAACAATAGACCTCAGAGGAATAAGCCAGATATGAATCCTTTCCCAGTGACAGTACAGTGATCCCCTGGGGGAAAAGATCAACTCTGGGCCTTCCCCCCTTGCCCAATAAAAACTAATTTCAAATTTTTTCAATCTCTTTTCTGAATGCCCAAAGGGACACATTCTGTTGAAAAGATAAGTCATTTGTTAGTGTAACATACAAAAATCCCACACTCCTTCTGTAACTGAGGTTCCATTTTCTACTCAGAAATTGGGCTTCTCTGATGCCTGACTCTGCTACTGAATAAAAGGCATGGCTAATCCATGAAGTCTGTGCCTGTCCCAGTAATTTATGCTTTAATTAAAGTGGCAAACCGTTTTGGTTATTTTTGCTTACACCAGCCCTTTGTTCATCTCCACAACATCCAACGGCATATGGGATTAGAGACACTGTATACTCATACCAGACATGCTACAAGCCTGGGTACAATGATGAGAAATGGCTTTGCCAGAAGCCAACATGCCAGACAGGACAGGTGGTTAGGAGCCACATAGGTCATGAATCCTGTCATCTGAGTCTGGCAGCACTGTGGCTTGCAATAACTGCATTTAATTAGCTGACATGTGCCCATTATTATCTTCCAGAAAGAAAGAAAGGTGCATCTCTGAAAGAAGTGGGTGAGGAGGAGCTTATCGTGGTGATAATCCCTGCAGAGGGCCGATCTGGAACCAGAAAATCAGAATCAAGTCCTGTTCCTCCCAGTGTTGAACATTAACACCCAAGAAACACTAAGGCAGGAGTAAAAAGTTTTATTTAGAGGATAGACCCCCCCCCACACACACGGGGGGTGGGGAAGAGAGAGAGAGATTAAGTTCTCTGGAGAGGATGGGATCCAGAGCTGGTACTCAAGGGAGTGCGGATGTCTTGCACCTTTAATAGATTTCAGATTATTCTTTCTTGTCAAATCCCTCTACTTCCATCCTGCCTACATGGCCAAAAGATGGGAAGAGAGCGGTTCAGAGAGTACACCCTAACTGTTTTATATATGTCAGGAAGGGAACAACTGAGCAGGTACTCATTAACAACTCCTTTCTGGGATAAACAATTCCCTGGATGCAGGTAACTTTGGCAACAGGTTGGAGGAGGGGGAAGTGCTCTGGAGATATTTGCATTTTATTTCCTTTTGAAAGAGTCTCCACTTTCTGACCCAATATTTCTTTACTTACACTGACTGTCTTTTTGCCCTGGTCTCAATGCCACCAGCCCTGATCTATCTTTCATCAATTTAATTTTCCTTGGCCAGTCATGGTGGTGGCACATCCCTCTAAAGCCACAGGCTTCGGAGGCTGAGGCAGGAGAATTAGAAGTTTAAAGCTAGCTTCAGCAATGTTTTGAGACCCTGTCTCAAAATATAAAGAGCTGGAGATGTAGCTCAGTGCCCCTGGGTCCAATTCCCATCCAGAAAAAGGGGGTCACTACCTATGGGCTTTAGACAACTGTGCAGTTGCTGCATCTCAGCTCAGACTTCTCAGTCAGTTGGTTGTAGCAGTTCTAGAGTGAAATTGATGTCATCTGGATCACAGATTTCTGTAATCATGTGAGAGAGAATCCAAAAGTATATGGCCATTTTCAGCTCCAGTTGGAATGGGAAGATGATTTTTGTCCCTCACCAAGTCTTATGGTGGGAAGAATCTGCCAATCACAGAGTTTAAGGTGCTGTGTGGCCAATACAATGACACATATCAGTATAAAAGAAACACAATTATTTTCTCATAATATGCAGCTCATGGGGAGACAGTTGAGGGACAGGACAGTGATGCAACAATATCCCAAGGAGTGTCTGGGTAGCATGACTTGTTGCCTCCCAAGGGTGGCACTCTTGGTGGCACTCCCAAGTGGCACTCCAGTCAGCAGGTCTAGCCTCAAGATAGAAGGAAGGGGGGCAGATCTCTGCCAACTGCATCATCTTCCCTTTTATTGGAAATGCAAAAGCTTCTCCAGAAATTCTCAATAGACATTTGCACACATCCTTTTCACCAGAATTGTGAAATTCTGAAATTGTGATAGTTTTCCACCCCAGAAATAAGGGAAGATGTTTAGTTGGTAGATTGCTACCTCCTTCTCCAAACTGGAACTCTGTCTGAACAAAAAGGAAGAAGAGGAGATGGGATAAGCAATGAGTACTGCCTGCTTCCATTAGCACTGGGACTGAAACAGAGATAAGAATCAGCTGACTCATCTCCATGACATCTCCCCAGAGGCTCTGTATTAGTTAGCTTCCTATTGCTCTAACAAAATAACAAGGCATGGGCATTCTGTAAAGAGATGAGTTTTATTTAGCTCAGAGTCCAACATTTGGCAGCCCCTGCAACTGAACTTTGATGAGGGTCATCACAACATGGTGAATGGCAACATGGTGGGAGGACTGCATAGCCAGTAACTGGGGAGGATGAGTCTTGTTCTTTTTAGAACAACCCCCTCTCACAGGAACTAATGGGGCCCCATGAGAAGTCCATTACTCCCTTCCAAGGGCCTCATCCCCAGTGGCAAAATTACCTCCCACTAGGCCCCACCTCTTGCAGGTTCTACCCTCTCAACACTGCCACATTAAAACCCAGCCTCCAGCCTGTGAACCTTTGTGAGACAAACCACATCCCATCCTCACAAGCTGCAACAAAACCACCATTGTAAGAGCAGGATGTCCCAGTCTACAGTGTGTATGTGAGGGCAGGGGAGGGTTGATATCAGAGGGCACAGGAAGCAGCCAGAGCCCCCCTTCTGGAAATTCTGTGATGTTCCTTTGCTACTTTTTCCTTTCCTGCTGTTGTCACAGCACTGTGAGTGGCAACTCAAAAGAAGTCACTGGTGGCTTTATTTTGCTGGGAAAAGGAGGCCAAGCCATGGATTTCTCCAATGACTTGAAGTCTCCAACACAACATCCAGTTGGATATGCTTGGTTCATACCCAGTCTTCCTGCCACGTTCAATGTGGTGCTGCTTTTGAATGTCAGTGGCGTGTTTTTTTTTGCCCTCCTGTGAGTCTCCATGCAAGCTGTCAAGTTGCTTACAAAGATATAGAAAGGAGATAATGCAGAAGCAGGGAAGTGGACAGGGTCAGGAGCAGGGAGAAGGATCTATAGTTAGAAGCACAGAGGTTTAGAGTACCTAATGCATTTAGGGAACTGTGGGAGGCTGGTAATTCTGGTGACATTTGGTGGACTCTCTGTGATCTGTCTCTTGCCTGGTTATTTAGATCTGTCCTTAAGGTCTGTGAATCTGACCTCAGGTGAGCCAGGCCTCATGGGGAGCTCTGGGTTGCTCTAGACTACAACTGAGTCTGGCTCTGGTTTCATGTGCAGGTGGCTTGCCCTGAGTGGAGAGTGGGACTTTGCCCTGGTTACTGGCCTCTTCTTTCTGGTAACCTTCAGAAGCCTGGGGTGTCTGAACTTCTCTGACATTGGCATCTTGCATTGAGGTGAGGCCTCAGACCACTGAGAAAAGGAGGTGGCATCCCAAGGGCTGATGCCTACAGGAGTAATTTCTAAAATGCTAAACTCACCTATGGTTCAGGGTCCATTCTCCTCATGTCATCATTACTTAGGTTGTGACATTTTGTTTCCCAAGGAACTGATGTGTGTAAATACAGAATTCTGGAGGGCTTCCAGTTGCTTTGGAAGGGAGGGACAGGCAGTCTGGACAGAGGGACCAGCAGGCTCTTCCAAACCACATTAATCCTTCCACACTCACCTCTTCCCATTTCACACATGACTTTAAGCACTGATCACTATTCTAAAGGGGGGAGCTCCATACAGAGCTCTTGTGGCTATAAACCCCCCTCTCTTAGACTGCCAATCCATCAGAGTGGTCAGCTTGCTAAACAGGGGCCAGGATTTCCCTGCCCACCTCTTTCTAATCCTTCTTGTTGCCCAGAAAAGCTATGGGGCTGCCTCTGGCAGCCACATGACGGAAGGGCCTCCTGCCATTGCTCAAACCTCCTCTTATGCCGGCTACTTTGAGCAGGATCCTGAGGCAGCATACATCACTTGGATGTATCGAAGGGTAATTCAGATACTCAGGTGCCCCCATTGCTTCTTCCACCACCCTCCCAGGATCTTCCACTGTGAATATTGTAATATTTGTGTGGAGGTGAGCACCCCTCTTCCCTGTCCCCTCACCAATCCATCACTGGGCACCTGGTCAGGACCAGAAACCTCACAGCATAAGGAGTGTGTATGAGACTATATTCCCACACTGCTTAAAAGTGGATCTCAGCCACTTTTGATCACTTACATTTCTTATCGCCTCTGTGTCTGCACTTGTCCTGAGAGGGTGGCCCTTTTACACAGGAACTAACATGCAGTGGGCATCACATCTTGCTGAGCCAGGTGGAGTCAGAGAGGTAAAGGTAGCACTGTCCCATCCCCTAGGTTGTTGATACTAGATACCTAGACCCTTAGGCCAGCTGCCCTCTTCTGGGGATCCTTTTCTGTCCTAATCTGGGTGTCCAAGTTGGAGGGTTTCCTGGGTTCTGAGTGCTCTTCTCTCATGTGCACACCTTGCACAGTTTTCCAAGTGCAGAAGCCTGGCTGGGGAAGGGTGTTCTTTATGTCCTTATCTTGTATCTGAGAAAACAGAGGCCCAGAGTTGTTGTATATTTTGTTCCAGGTGACACCAGGCAGGTCTAGTCTTTAAAGAACCTCACTCATGACCAGTGACCTGATGAGCCATGGCATCCTAACTGTGTTCTAACAGTGGAAATGTCAGGTTCTCCCTGAGATGGGAGCCCATATGGGGGCCACAAACAGGCAGCCTAGAAGGTCGGGTTGGGCAAGGCCTGATCATTTGAGGGTGATGGAGGCCAGGCTAAATAGAACCTCAAGGTCTGCCTCCTCTCCCCATAGGAGTCTGACCACCACTGTAGGTGGGTGAACAACTATGCACGGTAACATCAGGCAGATCCTGCTGCTGCTTGGGTCTCTTTTTTCTGTACCTGGGTGCCCTGCTGGTGACATGTGCACCTCAGAGATATGCCATTGTCCTTGGACAAGGCCTTGGCATGTCCATGCAGTCCCCCAGGAGGACAGGAGGGTATGGCCTGTGAGTGACACACCAGTGCTAAAAGGCACAGAATCCCAAAAGTAGGATGTTAAAGGAATGATGAGGATATGGCTCTAATTGAAGCCCAAGGTGGCATGGGCAGTGAAGTCGACCCCCTGGGGGTCAGGATTAAAAAGGTCCAGAAAGTCAAGAGTGGAATTCAGTTTAGATGCAATAAAAAGCTGGGAGCAATGGTGGAATTTTTTTTTAAGTTGTTACTTGAGGAATAATTTACACACAGTACAATTCACCCTATTTTATCTATGGTTAAGGATTTTGACACATGGATACTGTCCTGCATTCTCTACCAGGATCAAGGTTAGCCACATTATTCACAATAGCTAAACTCTGGAACCAATCTAGATGCCCTTCAGTAGATGAATAGACAAAAAAAATGTGGCTTATACACAATTGAATATTACTCAGCAATAAAAGAGAATAAAATCTTGGCATTTGAGGTAAATGGATTGAGTTGGAGAAGATAATACTAAGTGAAGTAAGCCAATTCCCAAAAAACAAATGCCAAATGTTTTCTCTGATATAAGGTGACTGATTTATAGTGGCATGGGGGTGGGGGAGCATGGGAGGAATAGACAAACTCTAGATAAGGCAGAGTAGTGGGATGGCAAGAGAGCAGGCAGGGGGTTAGCAATCATGGTGGAATGTGATGGACATCATTATCCAAAGTACATGTATGAAGACACGAATTGGTGTGAATATAATTTATATACAACCAGAGGTATAAAAATTGTGCTCTATATGTGTAATATAATGATAATGTATTCTGCAGTAATTTATTTAAAACACTTAAAAAAAAGAAAGAAATAGCAGAATAATGACTGCCAGGGTCCCAGGGGTGTTTGGGCTGTGGACTGTTAAGGTGCTGGTCACAGGAGACCAAATTACACTTAGATGGGAGGGTTGAGTTTAAAGGGTCTACTATCCAATACAATGACTACAGTTAACAACATACAACAGAATGACTACATTTGGTAATGTTATATACATGTGAAAATGACTCAAAGTGTCAATTTTAAGGGTTCTCATCACAAATAAGTAATGAAAGAGTGTATATGTTCCATAGCTTGACTCAGCCATTCTTCAGTGAATATGTTTCAAGATATGTTGTATGCCATAATCATGTACAAGTCGTCGTCATCATCATCATCATCATCATCAGGGATTGATCCCAGGGTTGCTTAACCGTTGTGTCACCCCAATATATTTTATTTTTTATTTTGAGACAGAATTGTGTCATAAAGCCTGCCCTGTTTATGAGGGAAACTGGGAGAATGTTTACTTGTGTAGATTTCCCACCTCCTCCCTACCTTCTTGTTACCCAATCATACTATTTCTTTATTTCTCTTAACAGAAAGCGAAACAAATAGAGATAGGCTGAGCAACCAGCACTGCCTGGTTCAATTAGCACTGGGCCTGAGAGTAGATAACCATCACCAAACTTCTCCCCATGCCATCTCCCCAGGAACCATATTATATGGTCTTGGTATTAGCCCACTTTCTCTGGCTCTAACAAATTACCCAAGAATGGGTACTTTAAGAGAGGAGGTTTATTTAGCTCAAGTCCAACATTTGGCAGTTCCTGTGGCTAACCTTTGGCGAGAGTGCTCACAAAATGGTGAATGGCATCATGGTGGGAGGACATGCAAGGGGTCAAGACTTCATGGCCAGAAACTGGGGAGGATGAGTCTTGTTCTTTTTAGAATAAGCCTTTCTCACAGGAACTAATGGGGGCCCATGAGAATTTCATTACTCCCTTCCAAGGGCCTCATCCCCATGGCACAATTACTTCCCTCTAGGCCCCACCTCTTGCAGGTGCTTCCAGCTCAACACTGCCACACCCAGGACCAAGCCTCCAGCCTATGAACCTTTTAGGGACAAACCACATCCCATCCTCATCACCTCCAACAAAGCCACCATTGTAAGATCAGGATGTCCCAGTATATAGGAGTTTATGTGAGGGCAGGGGAGGGTTGCTCTCAGAGGGGACTGGAAGTAGCCAGAGTCCCCATTCCAGAACCTCTCTGATGTCACACTTGTAGTCATGGTACTCTGGGTGCCAAGCCAGGAGAAGGAGCGGTTGGCTCTCATTTGTTTGAGAGCAGGCAGTGTAGCATGACTATCTCAAATTCTTTCTGGTCCCCACCAACAACCTCAGCCAGATCCTGGCTTTTCTCGAGCCTCTGGGCTTGTTTGACTATGGCAGCACTGGTCTCTCTAAGCCTAGTGTTCTTCACCTTTAAATGAGTCTACATGCCAGCTGTCGAATTTCTCACCAAGAGACAGGTGGGAAATAGACAGTGAGAGTGCAGAGGCAGGGAAGTGGAGGGAGGCCAGGAGGGGAAGAAGGATATTTAGTGAGAAGCACAGATATTGGAGTCTGGTAATCCTGGTAACATTTGGTGGAGGCAATGGGGTCTGTCTCTAGCCTGGATATTCAGATCTGCCCTTAAGGTGTGTGAGTCTGATCTCAAGTGAGCCCGGCCTCACGGGAGCTCCGGGTTGCCCCAGATTAGAACTGGTCTGGCCCTAATTCCAGATGTCAAGCACTGGCCCAAGATGGAGAGTGGAACTTTCCTGTGGCCAAGGGCCTTCTCTGCCTCCTCACTATGTACAGCCTCATTTCTATGAATACTTCAGACCCAGGCATCTTACATAGAGGTAAGACTCAGACCTGTGGGAGAGGGACATGGCACCCCAAGGGCTGATGTCTACAGGGGTCATTTCTAAAGGGTTGAGCCCCCCTGTGGCCTCAGGGACCCTTCTTACCCTTTCATCATTACATGGGCCCTGGCACTTCATTTCCAGAGTCACTGTATCGTGAAAAAAACAGAATCTTGGAGTTTTCTCAATTGTTTAGAAGAGAGGCCTGGGCAGACTGGCACAAGAGGCCAACAGGCTCTTCCAAAACCACACACTTCACTCTTCCTCCTTCCCATTTCACACATGACTCCAAGCACTGATCACTATTCCAAAGGGTGGGGGGGCTTCATGTAGATCTCTTGTGGCTGGAAAGTCCTTCTCTCTGACTGCCCGTTCATTTGAGTGGTCAGTTTGCTTAACAGGGACCAGGATTCCTCTGCCCACCTCCTCGTTACCTTCTTGTTGTCCAGTGATGCTATGGGTTGCCCTGAGCAGCAGAGTGATACAAGGGCCTCCTCCACTGCCCAAACCTCTTTCCCTGCCAGGCGCCTTCGAGAAGGACCCTGAGGCTCCCTACATGGCACAAGTGAATGGCAGGTTATACCAAATGCCGTGGTGTACCACCTGTTATTTTCATTGCCTGCCCCAAACCTTCCACTTCAAAAGCTGTAACATCTGTGTGGCATCTGGGGAGGATGAGTCTTGTTCGTTTTAGTATAAGCCTTTCTCACAGGAACTAATGGGGGCCCATGAGAATTTCATTACTCCCTTCCAAGGGCCTCATCCCCAGTGGCACAATTACTTCCCTCTAGGCCTCCTTCCTGTCCACTCACTAACCTATCTCCTGGCACCTGACCAAGTCCAGGAACCTCACATCATGAGTGGGCCAGGTGGGGGTATCAGACCATGTTCTCAGAGTGCTTCAAGTGGCTCTCAGTCACTGTTGGGCACTTATATATGTCATCACCTCTGTGTCTGCACCTGTCCAGGGAGGCTGGCCTTGTTTGCACAGGTGTTGATATGCAAAGGGCATCACAACTGGGCTGGGCCTTGTGGAGTCAGGGAGAGGAAAAGCAGTGACTGTCCCCTCCCCTGGCTTGTTGATAGTAGATCTTCAGCCCTTTAGGCTGATTGCTGCCATGTCCTGGGGATCTTTGCCTGTCTTGGTCTGGGTGTCCCAGTTGGAGGGTTTCCTGGATTCTGAGTGCCTTTCTCTGATGTGCACACCCTGCTCAGGTTGACAAGTGCAGATGGCTGGTTGGGCAAGGGTGTTTTTTCATCCTCATCCAGTGTCTGAGAAAACAGAGGCCCAGAGATGTTCTATCCTGCTCCAAATGATACCAGGCAGGTCTTGTCTCTAAAGACCTCACTCAAGACAAGTGAACTGATTAGCAATGGGGCTAACTGTGCTCTAACCATGGAAATGCCAGGTTCTCCCTGAGATTGGAACCCGTGTGTAGGGCCAAAAACAGGTGGCCTAGAGGGCTGATTTGGCGTATGCCTCAAGATTAGGGGGTGATGGAGGCCAATCCAGACAGATCCTCAGTCCTGCCTCCTCTCCCCTAGGAGTTCGACCACCACTGCAGGTGTTTGAATAACTGTGTGGGGCACCGAAACATCTGGCTCTTCCTGCTACTCCTCCTGTGCCTGTGCCTCTACTTTGGTGCCATGCTGACCACCTGCATGGTTTTCATCATGCACAGGAGGCACATGGCATTCCTGGACTATACCATGACGTATCCACAGAGTCCCAAGGGCCCACCCTGAGAAGAGCTGCTTGTAGTGGGGAGGGAGGGGCAAACAGCCAAGGAGGGACAGAGGAGACCAAGGGCAGGGCTAAAGGGAGAAGTCATGTGGGAGGACT